CTCTTTAAAAAAAAAAAAAAAAAAAGGCTGGTGGAGTTCATTCTTTCTCTCTTCTTTTTAAAGCCTGAAGCATTGCAGATGGGGTTCAAGTTCACCGGCTGCATCACCCCCCCCCACCCTGAAGTCACCAGTATTGGCAATCTGGTGAGTTTGTGACTCCAGCTCATTTTAATTTTTTCTTAATTTCACCTACCTCCGTGGGGGCTGGCGGTGGTCCTGGGGCTGTGTGGGGTCTGAGTTCTAGTTGACATGCCTGGAGCCACACACGGTCCCCGGCCTTCCTTCTCCCCGAGCCTGCTTGCGAGAGGCCCGTGGGTCCAGCCCATTCCGTGTCCTGTCCTGAGGGTACAGCTGTGCCAGGCCGAGTGTGGGCAGGAAGGGATGGAGCCTGTGACCAGGGAAGGACTGAGGGAAGGGCCTCTGGGAAGGGCCCCACCGGACAAAGGACAGCAGCATTCTGTGTCCCCCAGCTTAGTCACCTGAGATCCAAGTCTCCGCTTACCTTTGGTGACCACCCGTGGGGCAGCAGCTGGGGACATCCCCAGACACTGCGACTCCACATCTAGTTTCGCCTAAGAAGCTGGGGGAGGGTGAGTTTTGATCTTCAAGTGAGTGAGTGCACCTCCCAAGGGAGGTCCCCGAGCCTAGCCAGCCTGTCACCAGGGACCTCCCCCCTCCCTGGTCCCCTCCATGGCTCAGCAGGGCCTGGTTCTGGAACACAGGGCCATGCACAGGACAGTACGGGGCCCAGATTCCTGGTGAGGCTCCGCCCCCTCCCTGGTGGGCCGTGCCTCTGGGTCCTACCTGTCACAGCAGCTGAGCCCCACCTGAGGCTGACCATGCCCCCCAGAGGCCCTGAGCCGGAGGGTGGGGAGCCCTGGGGAGGGCCTGCAGGGTCACTTGCAGAAGCAGTGCTTCCTGCAGGAAGGACAGAAGTGCCCGCCTTGCTCTCACTTCCTTTTTGGGGCCCGGGAGGGTGGGCCTGCGAGTGGCCGCTGCTATTTATGGGCCTTGCAGCGCCAAAGTGTGAAACCCCGGTCCCTCCCGGGGGGAAGAGCGGTGGAGGTGGTGACGGGGGCTGCAGCAGGTGACACCGTCCCAGGTCTGGGGCACCATCTGCCCAGGGGTGGTGGCCGTCCAGTGGGAGGAGACACGCCAGGAGGCCAGGGTGGCCCTGTCATTCCAACGCCCCTCGTCTCCTGCGGGTGACAGGGCCCCCGTTTGGAGCAGGAGTGACAGGAGTCATGTTTGAGGGTCGCTGAGCATCTTTCCTCACCCTGACTGTCCCCGGGCCGTGGCTGGGGGATGGGGGACGCCTCGTGTTGTCAGAGGCCCCGGGTGGTTTGCGGGTGGCAGGAGGGACCGGGAGGGGGCTGCCCAGACGTGAGACTCACTCACATCTGGAGCCTCGAAATCTGCATCGGGGCAAATGAGCAGAGCTGCCTGCCTCCCTCTGGGGACTTTTCTGATCTTTTTTTCTGTGCTATCGGGACCCCTCTGGGTGCTCATCGTCACCTGATTTTACTAGAATACAGATGGCCATGTGGCATTCCTTTCCCCTCCCCCCCCCCGCCTCTCGCCTCTGTCCCTTCTTCCTTCCCAATAGTACTTGTGGAGCCACACACACTGCTGGACGGATGGTCAGAGTGGTCTTCATGGGCAAGGTGAGATTTGTAGGAGATGGTGAGTCACCCAAACAGACGTCCGGACAAGGAGCATGCCAGAAAGAGGTTAACGGCATGTGCCAAGGTCCTGAGGTAGGAGCATGAGCCACACGCTTGAGGTTCAGAGCAGGTAGAGGTGGAGCAGGGGCAAGAGTCAAGCTCAGCGCCTGGCACTCAGCGATTACCCAGGAAACACAAGCTGTGGCCAGGACAGTGACAGTAGCTGCCACTCACCACGGCCTCAGGCAGTTGGTTCTCTCACCATCTCCAAGTCTCCTTGGTCAAGTGCATGTATTTTACCCCCACCCCACCTCTACCGCTCACTCCAGACCCAAGACTTCTTCTCTGAACCTCTACTCCCTTCCAGATGCAGGGGAGAGATGGGTGGGCTGAGGAAGCCGCGGTGCTGCACTGCTCTCTAGGGAACACCAGCACAGGCAAACCGCTGAGTATGAAGAAGTGGCCAACTGTGTTCAGTGCTGGGCTTGGGGACCTAGCTGGGCTCTGAGGGAGTTGGGCAGGTGGCTACCCAGAGTAAGGCTGGCATAGCACAGCCTGTCCCCTCTGCAGGATCATCCACTTTTGGGGATGGGAGCCCAAGCTTCCGAGGGTTGAGAGCCACCCTGATCTCAGAGGAGGTTGTTCCTGGAAGCAAAGATCCAGGATGTAGTCATGTTTTCTGTGGCTATAACAAAATGCCTGAGATCAGGAATACTGTTCTTAAAAAAAAAAAAAAAAAGAGGACAGTAGTACCAGGTCCCTGAAATGTTGCTTTCACAAGGATTTAACAAGCCCCAGGGGACTGTGAGAGCCAGGCCAGGGTGGCCTGCCTGGACACGTACTATCCAGAAGGACCCTGGAATTCTCCAAAGTATGCTGAGAATTAGAGCAATGCAGTGCTCTCTCTAGTGAGCTGCTCTCTCGCCCACATGCCCAGACAGCTGGACGCCGGTCACACGAGAAAGAAAACAGACTAAACAAATCAATGACTCGTGGCTTCTGTAAGCAACCCATAAACCCCCTCCCTGTAGTAACTGGGACGGCTCGGTAACCTCGGGGAGGAAGGTGCGGGTCCAGGCAGCCCTTTTGAGGGGCAGAGGCACTCGGGTCCAGCCTGCCGCCATTGGATCTCCCCCATAAACACTTCTCAACGAACCATATGGGCACCATATTCCTTCTCGGGGTCTCTTCCTTGATCTCTCGGCCACCTAGTCCACGGCTCTGCCATAAATAGGCTGCAAATGTCACACGGGGTGATTTATAAGGAATAGGAATTTATTAACCTCCCAGGCCTGGTGGCTGGGAAGCTCACGGGCCTGGCTACTTGGCATCTGCTGAGCGTCCACTGGGGCATGGTTACGGGGCACAGGGTGAGCCAGAGCGTGGGGGCTAACTCTTCCTACAAGGGCACTAACACGGTGGTGGGGGCCCCATCCCCACGGCCCCCTGGCCTCCTCATTAGTCCCAGAGGCCACCAACATGTGGATCTGAGGGTTAAGTTTCTAACACATGAACCTGGGGGACACTTCACAGCACAGCACAGGGCTTTTCCCCCCCAGGGACAGGGGAGACCTGGGGTCTCACATCCAATTGGGCCGTGGAGGCCTCTCCCTGTTGATTCTGCGGAAGGAAGAAGAGCTCATGGTCCGAGCTTTCCCCTCACTCAGTCCTCGAGACAGCCCTGCAAGGTAAGAACCATCATCCCACTTATGGGTGGGGACGCCGAGGCTCCAAGAAGTCATATGTTTTGCCCCAAGTGTCCCAGCTGCTAAGTGGCAGAGCAGGACTTGAATCCAGGTCTTGAAATGATCCAAGGCCTTGTTAGGACTCCCGGGCTGGGCTGGTGGGAGGGTGGAGTGGCACAAACACTGCGGAAAGTCGGAAAGTCGTTAAGCGACGTGGCAACGTTCCCTAAAGCCAAACACATACCCCCACCCCCCGCCCAAATGTAACCATCCCAAATATCCATTAACAGGAGGGTGGATGAAAGAACGGCGGGTACTCATAGAATGGAATACTACACAGCCAAGAAAATGAACTGCACTGCTGCACACAGCACAGGTGAATCTCACAGGCTTGATGTCGAGAGAAAGAATCCAGACCTGAAGGAACAGATGCGGCTCCGTTCAAGGAGTTCACCGTCAGGCAAGAGGTCATCTCCAGGGACAGAGGTGACTTGGTGGGAAGGGCAAGGAACGGAACCTGGTACGGGGCCCGAGATCCATGTTCCTCGTGGGCGCTGAGATTGCGTGGGTATAGTCACGTGGGAAAGTCCTGGAAGCTGTCTCCCTGCTCTATTTCCACTCACTCTCCCTGAGAGAGAAAAAGACCAGTCCTCCGTGCTCTGCGGACGCCGAGTTCCACGTGGGTCGTAGGGAAATGAAGCCCAGGCTCCGGGGCTCCGTCTTTGAAGACCCTCTCTGCTCTCCCCACGGACCCCCTGTCCCTCACGGGGCTCACCTGGGGCGGGGAGGGGGACACCACGGGGGCCACAGGGCTGGAGGTGAAGCTGCCAGAGAGGACCCAGAGATAGGAACAGCTGATGGAACTTTCCAGAAAGCCCGTCACAGGGCGGGTCTCCTCCCACTCCTCTTTGAACTTCCAGGCTGGAGGGAGTGGCCAGGGCTGTCCGCCACGTCCAGGGAGACCTGACCCTGGCCATCTGAGGGCCATCGTGTGCTGGCCACCCCGCCCCGTGTCATCTCCGACGAGGCCCACGCGGCCCAGGAGGCAGGTGGCAGAGCGAGGCTCAGGGCTCACTTGCAAGAGGAAAGCAGAGCCCGTGTGTGAGCCGGGAACCCAAGGTAGCCCCCCCAGTATTTTCTGGGGACCCCCAGGGGACGTCAGGCCTTTTGTAGGGATCTGCTGGGGGGGCTCCCTTTGCCAACCGCAGATCTGAGAGTGGGGTGGACGGTCCCCCACACTGGACTGGCCTCTGGTGTATGCTATGCGTCCACCAGGAGGGAGCTTTCTATGGTGACTCAGACCGAGAGAGAGGGAAAGAAAGGGTCTTTTCAATTCCGAGCCTCATTTTTAATGTGGTCGGTGGGTGTCCCCCTCTGGGCTTTCTCACAGAGTTTGGAACCGGGCAGGGGGTCCCGGGCAGGGGGTCCCAGCTGGGCAGAGAGCAGACACCCCCAGGTCCCTGCTGCCCGCCCCCTCCAGGTGCCAGGGAGGCACAGATTCTTAGAGTCCACGGGAGGCCCCTTGCTGACCGGGTGAGGCTACCCAGAGAAGCCGTCTCAGCAGGGAGGCCCAGGTGAGAGGCCAGCACCTGAGCTTCCTATAAGAAGTGTCCCCCACCCCGTGATGATCCGTCTGAGCCCCCGCTGGATCCAGCAGGCCCCACGACACTCACCTCCTCCACCAACGGGTGAAGAGCCAGGTTTCGGGGCGTCTTCCTGCTGCTGCCCCGCAGAGCCCCCCCGAACTGCCGAGGTGGTGGGGAACAGAGGGGAATTGTCCGCTTGGAGGCAGTGGGGGGTGGTCCTAGGTGGGATCCCAGACCAGGTAAGAGCTGTCAGGGATGAACCGGCCAGATCCCAACAGGCCCTGGGTACTTGTAAGTCAATGCTCACCTCGATGACACCTTTCCCAGCGATCGGAGGACCCCAGAGCGCTGCGGAATTTAAAGTGTCTTTAAAAAATGGAAAACCAAGCTGGGGGGGGCGGGCAAAGTGGGGTTCGGTGGCAGAGCGATTGCCTGGCACA